CTTGGAAGCTGTGCCACAGATATTTCTGAGCAATTTCTACATCATTTCTATGTTTAATATATTATTTCTTCAGTTTGAATCCTTTACATAAATTTTCGTTGTTATTTTCATAGTTTTTCATATATTTAATCTAAGGAAAAATAACATACATTTTATCTCACTGTATCTTTTTAAAATAGTTTTATCAGGGGCTCATATGATTCTTATCACAATCCATACATACATCAATTGTGTAAAGCACATTTGTACATTCATTGCCCTCATCATTCTCAAAACATTTGCTCTCCACTTAAGCCCCCAGCATCAGGTCCTCATTTTCCTCCTCCCTCTCTGCTACCCCCTCCCTCATGAGCCCTTGATAATTTATAAATTATTATTTTGTCATATCTTGCCCTGTCCGACGTCTCCCTTCACCCACTTTTCAGTTGTCCATCCTGCAGGGAGGAGTCACATATAGTTCCTTGTAATCGGTTCCCTCTTTCCTACCCACTCTCCCTCTACCCTCCCAGTATCGCCACTCACACCACTGGTCCAGAAGGGACATGTACTTTGTCATCTCTACTGGAATTACTCAGTAAAACAGTGCTTGGCTATATCTCAAGACTGGATTGTTTTATATTTATACAAAATAGTATGCAGCAAATAAACCCAATGGGATACACTCATTTTTTTCCATGTGAATACACTCTAAAGGAGATTACGTTCATTTGGAAAACCCAAACCTGAGCCCAATCGGTTGGTATTAAAGCAATTCCAAACTATCGCAACCCTACTTGAGGACTTCAAAACGTATAGATATATTCATTCTTGGAGAGTCTGGGGTTCTGTTTCTCCCTCCCTCATATTATGCTTTTCGAAACCCACGCCCAGGCAGCTCCCATAGTTTCCATAGTGCACGCGGAGACACAGACGTCTGGGTATGCTCAGCGAACTCAGAGCCAGAATACCACAGGGGTGAATGTAAGAGGCCTGTGCCTCAGCATCTTTATGGTATACAGCTGAAGAAACTGACAATATCTCGTCCTGCCTATGATGATAAAGAGTGCATGTGGCTATTAATAGTCTCCAATTCATAAGATTTAGAAAAATAAAAACCCTAACATCACCTCAGAGTTGTTAAGCCTTCAGAGAGTATTAGCTATGGTTTTCACCATCATTATCATTACAACTATCTTTAAGATTGGAAAATTCCTTGAAAGATTGAGCTGGTGTTTTATTCCTTTTCCCCCTGCTTGCAATGTAAGGCACAGTATCTGACAAATCATACATACTTAGTAGTGGTTAACATTTATAGACACGGTTTTATTTGTTTATTTACCTTTTCCATTGATAACTATCACCCCCCACAAAAGAAAACAAAACAAAAACTGCCACTGAGTCATTTCTGAATCATGGCAACCCTATACACGACCCAAGGCAGTGAATATTTACGGGGACAGACAGACTGTGCTCTTTGCTTTGGAGTGGCAGGTGGGTTTGCACTGCTGCCCTTGCCGATACCAGCCCATTGCTGACCTGGCAGCACCACCAGTTCTTTCAAACACAAAATACCAAACTCACTGCCATGGAGTCAGTTCTGACTCACGGAGACCCTATGAGCCTAGTCGAGTGCCCCAGTCAGTTTCTCAGGCTAGAAATCTTTACAGGAGCAGAGAGAGTTATGTATCTCCAGTCAAGGCAGAAGCCT